GAAAAAACCCCTTATTTTCTTTTTTCCTCTTGAAATCAGATGTTTTAATGTTCTAGTTATGACAAAAACTAGTTTATTTTTCTCTTTTTTCTTGGGTTGTTTTTTCTGGGTTTTTTTTGGTAGTCATGTCATGTTTAAAAGTCTACACTTTCAAAAACAATTGGCATGCCTTCACCTGTCCCTTGGGACATTTTATTAGCTCCTGATTCACAGTCAGCCCAAGCCTTTGCTCTCTGGCAATCAATTCTCTTGGGCAGCCACCCAAAAAGAGCAGCTAAACCCAGCAATCTCGTCCTGAAATCCAGAGTGATGTGCTGTTTTTTTGTGCTGGGGAGGATTTCAGCATTCCTGGGATGCCTGCCTGGAGGTGCTGTCCTCCCTCCTGAGCTGAAATGGGGTCCAGCACCAGGGACAGGAGTCTAAGCTCAATGACATGGTGTTTCAGCCCCGGGATCTCAACCAACATGAACAATTACAGCTGTTGATTTGCAGGATGGGACAATCAGATAATTTTCTTCTTTCACTGTTTTACTGTTAGCCTCACACCAGGATTTCATTCCATGAAATCCATATGACTTCAGTCTATATTCTCCCTAAACTTTATAAAAACATCCTTTGAGTACTTTAAACTTCTAGTGATTTTAGAAAAGTTAATTTTCAGTCTTTTCTTTCTCCTGGTTTATCATTTCCCAGCTCCTGCCATGACACAGCTACAAATCCTCTGATGCAAAGCCTGCACCATCAGAGACCAACAGCTGCTTATCCAAGCGAGTAGGGAAGAATCTGCACTTCAGTAATTAATGCAGGAACCATCAGATCATATGAGACCCCAGGCTATGGAGACATAATTTTGTAGGTAAAAATGACCCATAAGAGCTGCCCTGGAGCTAAATGTAGTAATCTTTACAGTAGGTCAGAATGAAAGAGCAGGCCAAAGGAAATGCCTCCTCCTTGCTCATGTTCCTTACAGGCTGGCACATGTCTTATATTTTAAGACATCTCAAGCCCTTTCTGCTCTAATTATGTGCAATGGTCTCTTCCTCCCACCTCTTTATTTTTAAAAATTTGCAGAGATCCTCCTTTCAAGAGGATCTTTCTGTTGGCAATGGGCTTTGTAAGCTGCTGACTGTGAAACCTTCCTGTTTTAATCTATTCCAAACTAGCACTGCACTGTTAAAACAACTCTACTGCTTTTCATGCTGCTCAACTAGCTGGGTTGGAGTGCTGCAGGAACAGTCCTGATCACAGAGTGAGCTTTAAAAGCATATGATTTAATCTAGGAAATTTGAATGGAAATATTTTAGGGCAATGTTTTCATTTTTTCTGGTAGTTAAAAGGCATTAGGAAATGTTAGCTTGGAGAACAGAGTGCAAATAAAGCATTTGTACAGCACAGATAAATTATTTTCACCCCATTTTACTGAAACAGAAATCATAAGGTTTTTTTTTAAAGAAAATTGTGGATATGAATTTGTAATCCAATATTTATTGGCCCAGGTTTCTTCAAAATATATGGTTTCCAAATCTGAATTTAAATATTTATACTCTAGCACATATTCCTGATATAGCTAATATAAGTAATATATTTATCTTTCAAGGCAGCAATATTTTTTCACTCAACCTTGACTTTCAAGTTAAATATGCGGGTGGGAAGTGGTGCTATCTGGAGGTTGTTGTCACTTATTTCTATGTAAAAATCAAGATAATTCCAGCTACTCTTTTAAGAAGCAGCATTTTTTATTTCTGTGTTCCAGCTGATCAAGCAGGTTATAATGGTTCATTGTTACGTTTCATTTTTCCACCTTGAGTGAGGCAGATTTTTGTATGTGCCTTCCAAAATGAGGAGGTGAATTTCCACAGCCACTGTGACTGTTAGGAAAAAGTTTAATGATAAATTATGCTTTTCCCCGTAAAAATCCAGGATAAAATTTTTGTACACATGAAGTCGGTCTTGCATCATTCTCACACTTTAAGGGGCATGTGATGGGTGTATATTTAGAAGAGCATGAGAGGGATTTAGGGTAACTGAGACTCTTGTCCGTATCTCTGAGTAGGTGGAAACATCTGCTTCTGTAGGACATTTTTGATAGATCCCAGAAATATTCTTGTTTGGGATCAAATCCAGTGCATTTATAGCCATTTACTACTGCTGAGGAAGTGATCCCAAGACCCAGCACTTCTTGAGTTTCCAATCCTCAGTTTCCCTCTGCAATGAGTTTTCTTTTTATCAGACAGAATCCATAGATAAAATAAATTTTACTTTATTATCTTTGTGCTCAAGAAATAACTTTTCTCCTGGAGAGGCCTTTCCTCCATCATTTTTTCATCCTTTTTTTTTTACATTCCACTCATTTGTACAGCACAAGCAGATGGCAATGGGATTTTATTTTTTCCCCTCTGGGGAGGTTGCTTTTGCCTGCACTGGTATCTTCATCAATGACTGAGGGACCCTGTGCTCACTGCCTGGGGAAAGGACAGGACCCTCTCAGCAGATGTCTGGCTGGGTACATGGGGAAGGGACATGCCAAATGGCATTCTTGTCCTGGGAAGCAGTTTTGTCCTCTTTTGGAAAGTGACAGTGCTGGTTTTCTTCTCTCTTGCTGAGGAGGTTTGAGCCAGCTCTGGGAAAAAGCCCAGAGGTGTAGCTCCAAAACTGATCCTTGTCCTTTTTGTCCAGAGCACACATACAAACTCCCACATTCAATGGTGCTGGTTTGTAGAGGGAGCTGACACTGGGTTTCACTGAATTTTTGCATGTGTAACCCACCAATTAGTCCAAAAGTAATTGCATGGGCAGAAGATTCTGCAGCTGCACCTCATTCACTGTATCTTGAGCTCTTCATACAGGAGGACAGCAGTGAAAAGTCTTCCCTCCCCCCTTCCCAAAATGGAAAGTGTCTCATACAGCAGCTTTGCAAAAGAAGTATTATTCTGTCAATACAATGGCCCTTGGGATGTCAGTGGTAAAAGTTAAAAAATCCAAAGTCAAGAGAAAAGCCTAATACAGTTGCACTGACTTTGCATACACTTTGAATGAGCCATCACTATGTCAATCAAGTGTCTAACACAGAGCAATCTCACAGTGTCAGTGCAAGCTCTGTGCTAAAATCAATGGCAGAGTTCCTATTAATATTTGGAATTTCTATTTTCTTAGACTCTTAAAGCTATTTTCATATCTCTTGAATATTCAGTAATGCATGTGAGAAATATTGCTGCTCTTCAGCAGTCTTGTTTTCTGCATTAGAAGTTGTGTGACAGTAAAGGGTTTTTTATAAGCCCACTTGCTGTCTCCTTTTTTCACAAGGATGCCTTGAAAAGATCTCTGCTCAGCTCTGTGCACATATGCTAAAAGAAAAAAAATGTTCCCTATGTGGTGAAACACCCTGAGGTCTCTAAACCTGCCATCACTGCCCCTTGACTAGAGTCCAAGCAACCTTAGAGAAGAATTTTTTGGTGAAGGCTTGAGTGTTGGTACAGAAAGACTTCTTTCTGCCCCTCTACAGACAGCCCTGACCCAAATGCCTGCCAGAGCTCACTGCACAAACCCAACCACCTGGAATTATCTGATTCCTCCCATAATTCTGTAAACTATAGAAGGACTTATCAGTGCCTTTAAAATCATTACCCAATGCCCCATTAAATTTCCCTTCAGCTGAGTTATAAGATAGGAAATAAGAGACAGCAAGCAGAGAATATCATTCCTCAGCAGGGCATAGCCACCTACCCCACCAAGGGAGCAGAAGGAGAAGCAGCACTGAGTTTCTGGAGATAATGCTGGCACATCAGCATTAGGCAATAATGGGGAATGTATTCCTCATCCTTCTTCTCCCCTAGACAGCTAGAGGTGATATATCTTTTGGCACTGTCAGCCTAATCTAGGTCAGTCCTATTGTCAGGCTCCTCAAATAGTACCTGTCCACAGTTAAAATTTATGTTGGAAAAGCATTAATGCAAGCTTTTAATAAGATGAAGAATTTAACAGTATGCTGTTATCTGGAGATGATATATTTTATATACAGGAGACATGTTTAATTAGCTCTCGAATAGGCAAAGGGGCTCGTGCAGAGCCATGGATCTACCTTCTCTGCTTCCCTTCTGTAATTAGAGACAGCAAATGCAAAGCACACATTAACTTTTCTGGTGGCTGAGCTGCCTTGTGTGGACCTTCATACACACTGCTGCTCAAATATAAATTAGCCCTTGTGAAGTATGCTCAGTGGATAAATAAAAAGGAGAAAAAGGACTCCTTGAAGCTTCTCTGCTAGGTGCCCACAGCAGGGGAGGAGCCAGGAGCTGCATGACCTGCGAGCAGATCAGGTCCTGCAGGGAGGAGGACAACCCAAAGAGGTGGGTGAGATGCTCCTGATCCAAGGCCCTGCCTGCACTCTACAGAGCCACTTCTGCAGCCAAATCTTTCTCACAATCATCTGGTGGGAATGCAGGGAGCTGGGCTGCTCCCATCCTTGTGAAACCCTTCATTTCCTCCTGTTCAGCCTGTTCCAGAGGAATAATGTTCAGACACTCATCAGAAGGGAGGGATTCACCTCCCTCCTGCCTGGGGGATGCTCTGCAGCCAACAATGTGGGTGAAGGCAGCAACACTGTGAGCTGGAGCCCCCACCGATGGTCCTGTGCAGGTCATTACAAACACCACTTCAGCTGACACCATTTTTCTCCCAGCCCTCCTCTCTTCCTCTCCATGTGCTGCAGAACCAAGACATTTCACCCCTGCTGAGCAGTAGCCAAGGGCATCTTTGAAAGCCTGTGAGCTTTTCTGCTCATCATGTCCAGCCCCTGCCAAGGCTTTGCTCCAGACCGTGGCCCACCTGTGCACCAAAATGAAGCCCACACGAGTCAGAAGGTTGCAGGGGTGAGTGTGGTGCTAAATGACCCCACACTGCTTCTCCTGCCTTACCTTTTCCTGCCCAGGAGATGGTAGATACCTTTCTCAGATAAGGTGATGTTTTTTGAGCTACATCCAGCCTGCTCAGCCCTGTGCACAGCCCAGACCTCAGAGTGCTCTGCTCCACCATGGATGGGGTCATCTGGCAGCTGATGGCTCAGGGACAGGTTCACTTGGACCCATAATGGGACAGCCAAGGTAAGCACTGCTTTGTAGTGATTTTTTTCTCTGGCTCTGACCTTTGTCTCTGAGGACAGCTTAAATACTCTGCGAGGGACTTTTTAAATGCCAAAATGCTTTGTATGGATTGGTGATAGCCAGCAAGTCTGCTTCAGAGGAGACACATTTATTAATGCACCACCATGTTATATCTATATAGAGAAAAGTCAGGAAAAATACTTTAGTCTTCTCATAATGATGATATATACGAGGCTAAATAGACAAATATGTTTTATAAATATCGTCTTATAGGCTATTAAGGCTTTTCTCCTGGCTGAAAAGATACAAGAAATCACCATAAACTAACTAAATTTAAATGGCTTCTGTTAAAAAAAAAAATCTTCCTGCTATTAATAAGTTGTTGAATAACAGGCATTTAAAGAAAGGCATAACTCTGATATTAAATAGATAAATGTAAAATAATCTGTGTGCATTTAAATGTGAAGATCACATTAGGAGTAGAAAATTACAAAAATTTAAATACTGTAGGAGGTTGTTATGTAGGTAGTCTATAAAAAACAGGCAATTTGGAATTCCTCTAAAGAACATAAACCCTAGATAGAGCTGCTAGTTCCTTTGATAAAGACAGGTCTCAAGCTGAAGGTTTGATGTATAAAACCCCCAAAAGGTGTCTGAGCTATCTTTTTCTAAGGGATTATATAAGATAAAAGCTTGCACTGTAAGTCCCTATTTTAAGAAACAGAGTTGCTAGGAAGTTGCTAATACGAAAAGGCTAATTGTGCATGCAATGAAAGTACTGCTCCATTCACAAAATAAAGTGCTAACGTTTTAATAAGGGCTGGAAACTGTCTGCTCAGGAGCTGCTGCAGGGCGTATGTCACTCAGGGGCTGCTGCCTCCTCCCCTGGCACCGGGGCTGCTCCTGTCCAGTTCCAGCAACAGGATGTGCCATGGACACCATGGAAGAGCTGCTGCCACTTACAGCAGTGCTGGAGAATAAGAGGAATATCCAGGATTTGCACAGATCAGTCTTCCCAAACTGTTCACATCTCAATTACCTACTTCTTTTATTCAGTTCATCATGTTTTCTTCCCCTTCCAGCTTCCAGTTTCTCCCCCAGAATTCCAATCTTCCTGCATCAATTAGCTTGTTTGCCCTGAGATATTTTCTCTTTTGGATGTCAGGACATGGCTGTCCAAGACACAACACAGTTGCTCAGCACTTTTCTTGCTGTCAGAGAACTGAGGTTTTCATCCCTCAATTAATGTTTCATATCTTAAAATGGGCTGGTCCCCCATCTGGTTGTGCCTTCCTCATTCTGTGGACTAAGAGTGCAGATCTGGATTGCTAATTTAACTGGTGCCATTAATTGAATTTCTACAGCTTGTTGAACTTTGTGTAGACTTCAGAGGCTGAACCCAAAGCTGGTGTGAAATGTCATTCCTCCATTGAATTTTCTGATTCATGTAAGCTAGATCCAGAAGTGTTTTGTGGTGAGGCCCTGGCACAGGTGCCCAGAGCAGCTGTGGCTGCCCCTTGATCCCTGGAAGTGTCCAAGGCCAGGTTGGATGGAGCTTGGAGCAGCCTGGGACAGTGAAAGCTGTCCCTGCCTGTTGTAGGGGAGTGGAATGAGATGATCTTTAGGGTCTCTTCCAACCCAAAACATTCTGTGATTGTATGTTTTTAATACAGGATGAAGTTAAAAAAGAGCTGAGTCCAATTGGGGCAGCAGGAACCCTATACCCAGTACCACTACATGACCTCGTGGCTCAGGGCAGACCCCTCTCTTCTCATCTCCTCTTCCTGGGCTGATCTGGGTGAGACCCTGAGTTCCTACCCACAGCATTTTAAGGGCTCATTTTGATTATTGAGGTCTTTTATTCCTGGCAATGCAGCAGGTTATGGCTGCGTATAAGAACTTGTATTAGAACTAGGGAACAGATTCTCAGCTGCTGTAAATTGTGTCACTTCATGAATGTGGCTACTCTGGTGTTATCAGTGTAGCTGGGTTGATGTACAACAGCTGAAAATCAGGCCCCAGAGCTTCCTTTTATTAAAACATTCTTGATCTGTAAAATAAAGTTGCGAATAAGATGCTGGTGACAGAAGGGGATAGCCTGCTTTGTAGTACCTTGTTCACTAACATTTTAAGTGATATGGAAATTCAGTTGATATTTTGCCTTTAAAATATTAGCTAAATCATTCTGTCAACACATATTTTTTAATACATATCCTGCCTGTCAGATTTTACACTTAATCTTGGATTCTGTAGACGGCTCAACAGCATCGCTTTCTTTAGCGACTCCTGCACCAAGGTCTCCTTTCCTGTTATATTCAGCTTGCATCTGTTTAAACACAAGATATGAGATAAATGATAGTGCCAGGCTTAAACATACATCATCAGGACTCTGATGTGAGGCTCTGGAAGTGGCAGGCCAGATGGTGTAACACAAAACTCAGACATCACAGTTTGTCATGCCGTGCTCCAGTCCACCGCACTAAAAATGGACTTTGCTGTGCACTTAGTCAATCATCTCTCTGGTGACCAGAAAGCAGGGGTCAAAACAAGAGGTGGCATCAAACAAAGGCTGTGGTCATGCTCGGCAGCTGTTCAGCCCTCCAAATCTGGCCATCGTCCTTGCTAGCTGCAGAGATGGAGTTAATAGTGGCAGGAAATATTCCAGATAATATCAGTCGATCTGAAACAACCACTCTAACTTTTTTATTGTTAACATAAAAGAAAACATGTTTATTAATTCTGCAGAACAAAGCCAAGAATGTAAGAACCTGTTTGGAATAATGCTGCATTAGGGAACATTTTTTTTTGGAAGACACAAGAGATCAACACATAAATAAATTCCTGTGATGTTTCCTGTAAGGGAACTATGTAAATGCCATTCAAAGAAAAAAAAAAAGCAACTACCTTGCTATATTTATGTGAAAAGCATTCATCAGAGAGTAAGAGAGGAGAGGCAGAGCCAAAAGACACTAATTTGAATGAAAGTTGTTGGCATTAATTTTGATTTATGATATACAACCACATTTGAAATGTGGCCACACATTACAGTTTTTACATGCTGACCTCAAGACTATATTTAGAAGCCATCTTACTGCTGAGCAGGACTCAAGGTGGTATACAAGGAATTTCTAGGAACAAGTGTATTTCATGATCATTAATAATCAAACCACTTGTATTTGGAGGCTAATTCATCACTATGCTACTTCAGTTTTTGGGATGTGCAATTTCAGTGAAACTTGAGAGTTCAATACTTTTCAAAGAACTTGAAAACCTCCAGTACAGGTGCTTTGCCCCAGTTGTGTATCAGTGCAAATCCTGGAATAATTCGGCAGTGAAAAGATCTTCTGGTGCTAGAGATGAGGAAAGCAAAGGAACCACAACTTGCATCAACAGAGCAAACACCTTCCAACCCCACAGAATTCGAAATGCTGCTCCTAGTTATTAGAAGAATATTTGTTATATTACACAGGGCAGGTTTGTTTGTTAAACTCTTTCAGCTGGGGAAAAACACTGCATGGGAATTTGCTTTCATTTAGCAAGGTAAGTTACTCCTTGCACTGCTACACTTTGCAGTAGAAGAGAAGGTTTCTTTGCTCATAAAATGCTCATCTCTGTGAGATTTTGCTTTATCAAGCAGCAACCTCAACATATGTGTGAGGAGTGCAAAAGATTAAAATAAAACAAAGCCACATTAAAAAATATTTGCTTCAATCTACTATTCTTTCTAAATTCTCAAACTGCCCTGAGCATAGATAGGGCTGAGCAAGAGGTCAATGTACCTTTACAGCTTGTTTGGCAACATTTATCTATGCACTGTGAAATCCAGTTTAACCTGAAATGGGACTACATCTATAAAACTTAAATGCTTTTCCAGGCTCCTGCTATGCCCACAGAAGTTACACTTGCTCAGCTGTGGATGTCCTTTGAGCCAGGTAAAGGTGACATGGGAGGAGCAAAGGTCTGTCCCATCTGGAAAAAGGAAATCCAAACACAGAATTATCCCTAAATACAAGTAAGTGGAATTGGTTTTAATTCTTTACTTTACAAGGAACAGATCATTATTTGTTGCCTAGAAAGAAATTTTTGGAAGTGACTGTTGCTGATGCTGTTAACTTTTTGGAAGAGGCCAGAAAAAGTAGAATCAGCCTGTTTTGAAAGTGTAGAGTTAAGCTGAATTGTATTTATGGGAGCAAACCACCAAGAGCCCATTGGTATTTTATAGAGATTTGATTTGATAGGTTATTGATTTTGGCTTCGGGGGATATAGCCCCTGTTGAGAAAGTATCAAACTCACACTGAGTAAAATTGTCAAAAGCCTTAAAACCAGTAGTGAGGGACTGGCTGGCTCTCACTGCAGCACTTCAAATGGAGTGGGGAAGATATGCCTTATTGCCTCCAGACCTCTGGAAGCAGTTATGTGTATTAAATACTGGAATAACTCGATATTTTAAAAGCTTATACGCTCATCCAAGTAAAATGGGTTTAGAAGACTGCTGGGAGTTTCATTATTTTATGGCTAAATCGATACCCAGATTTATGCCTTTTGGACATAGAAACTTGAATTTAATTGAGAAAATGGATCTAATGAGGATAGACATTTTTCATGCAGGTGCCCTTGTTTAAAAACACACATGCACACAGCTCTGTACCACATAAAAAAAAAGCAACTTAATTTTAAAAGCTGAATAGACCCACCAGAGAGAGTGACACACCCTGAAAACTGGGGAACAGGCAAAGAAACAGTAATACTTCTGAACTCCTGAGAATCCAAAGAATCTGTTGTTGTTCCTGAATAAAAATTTCATTAGTTAACACAGAAAAGAAAATTATTTTTCAATGTACCAGAAAAATAAATGGCCAGATGGCAGTAACCTGGCCATCAAAATCGGAACTACTACTGATTCAAAAGCAGCATCACTATTTCCTATTTGCCCACTCTCTGGCAAAAGTGTGATATTTATGGCACACTTTTCCTAATACAAGCTATTATCTATAGAGATGAAAATCAGAAGTAAGCTCTATATTCAATATATTTAGCTAAATTCTGCTCCCTGTATGGAACAATTTTTTTAAAAAAGCCCTAGACAAGAATGTATGCTTGTGCTTAATTTTATTCCTGTCTCCAAGACCAACTTTAGACCACATGCTTTGCCAAATCGAAATCAAAATGCAGAGTAACCCCACTGACTTCAGTGAAATAACTTGTGATTCTGTCCCATATATTTGTTTCAGTACGTGTTTCATTGGCTATAATAAGCAGAAACTATTTATGACACAAATTTCCTGGACTTCAACAGGCACAATTAGCACTCTGAAGGGCAGAAGAAAATGCATACGAAAAGCTTAAAAGTAAAGAAATGGAGATGGAGAAATCATTAACATCTCATTTCCTCTATACATGTGCTCGCACACACACATACACACAAATGACTCTCCTTCGGGAATGTACACATCCTGAAAATCTAAATTACACGCTGAGAATAGGTTTGTGTTGCAATGTACTGCAAGAAATTTTCAAGTTTGTAGTTGGCAAGAAATTAGCATTTACTATATAGAGAGACAACATGATGGAGTATATTTTGCTCTTTATGCTAAACTTCCATTGATTGCCATGGGAATATTCTATGTGTGGAAAGGCGGTAGGAGCTGTGCCTTTAACAGTAAACAACAGTGATAGTCAGAGATGTTTCTGTCTGCACTGAAATGAAGTGCTAATAAAAAAATTCTGTGTTCTTATTGTTTAAAACCCACAGTCGATAGATTTTTATTTTCCCTACTGACTTGAAGAGTAAACTTCTATAAACAAAATGTGACGTGCCTATCTTATTAAATGTAATTTAAATGAGCGCTTGGTAAAAAACCCAAGGAAGCCTTCAATGGAAAGACTCGAGGATGGGGCTTGGAAAGTCTCAGGTGACACTACTTTTTCTATGTAATTTCAGGTGTGCTCCTTGAGTTTTCTTGCAGAAATTTTGGGGAGCCAGGTTCACGTGAGGTGCTTGGGACAGTGAGGGGACAAGTTGTGAGGGGGGCTCAGCACGGTGCCCACTGAGCTCTGTGGGTGTGGGTCCCCACGCTTTGGTGACCCATACCCAAACCAGGTTTGACCTTCAAAAACGTGAGAGTGGTGCCTCCTCCCTCCCCTGAACTCCCCTGCATGCCAACCAGTGTCTCTTTTCCTTCCAACCAGCTGGGAATTTTAATGGCCATGAGGGGGATTGATGCTTAGGCTTCATGGGGGATGCAGTCCATGGTGTGTCCTCCATCCAGCTGAGTGGACTTTCCTTGGCAGCCAGGTTTATCCCTGTGGTTACTGGCAGATTTGGGTAGAATTATAAGCCCACACAGCCCACACAGAGCACAAGACCACAGCCTGCAGCAGCAAACCCCAAGGAGAGGTGCCAGTGTGACTTGGTGGCCCTTGGGATTGCACTCCACGGTCCAGGCTGGCCTGAGCACCCACAAAAGTGCAGCTGCAGCTACCTCTGTAAATACCTCCCAATAAAAACAAAAATCCAGAGTGAATAACTGCAGGCTGTGTGCTTCGTACCTATTACTGCTTGCTGCACTGAGAAAAAATCCCCGGGAAGTCTTCCCTGTTTTATTCAGGTGAGCAGGTTTCTATTGGAGTTAATGGCATGGCTGTCGTGTACACCGAGCTGGATCTGCACAGGGTTTTGCCCCAAGTAATTTTACAGGCAAATGCATCCCATGATGGGTTGATCAGATGTCCTGCACAACTGTACAGCTTTGTCCCATGACTCCTGTGTGAAGCCTGGCTGTTCCTAACTAATTCTTCAAGTGCTGTATGCTCAGGAGGAATTAGCTGGTTTTAAAAATAGATTACTTCCCGTCACATCCCAGTATTTTTACTGAGTGTTTTTCGCACTAATTTTCTGTGTCTCACTGATACTGACATTTCTGAAGTTTTTTTTTCTCATAAACAGCATACTATTAGGGGGAAAAAAACAACCCTGGAAAAAAATCTGTAAGGATAGTGCCAAGGAGCTGTGAAGTACTGGAAGAATGAATGTTTTCTGGTATTGATGCAGGTTCAATATGGATCTAATTTTTCTGAAGTTTGTGTGAATCTGGAACACTTGGTGAAAGAAATCATTGTAATGGTTATTAAAAATCTTCCAGGTTGGTACTGCAAGGAGCAGTTCAGCATCTCTTATCAGGGACAAGTCCGGGGCAGAACAGCATTGCCCAGTGAAGACTGACTCTATACAGAGGATACAGAGCCAGCCCAAATTCTAAACTTCTGCCATAACCTCACCTTAATGAACCCACTCACAGCAGTATTGGGGTGTGAACCATACACTGAAAGATAAAGGATATATTTTTGCCTGTTAGTGTCAGATTGTAATGGGATATTTGGAATGACTATGACAGCCCCATCCTCTCTCCCCTACAAAGAACACTCGGGCAAGGGTTATTCCTCTGGCCTCTCCTTAGAGAAGGAGGAGACTTTCAGCTTCATGATTAAATCTATCTAAACTGCTTAAAAAAAGAGTCTGCACTTTCATGATAGATCAATTTGTGTTAGGTTTTTGCCAAGCAATTTTTTTTTTCAGGCATGTTTTTTTGCTTTATTCTGTACATGAATAGCATCCAGGTAAAATATTTTTAATTCATTTCAGGCTGGATTATTGGAAAAAAAGAGATTTTTTTCTCCCCTTGTTGTTACTTGATTTAATTAGTGCTCTGTTTTCAAAGTGGCAAGCCAAGCTTTGCCAAGTCTGGATCTCTGACTCATGCTTAACAGGGTTTTATAGCCCCACCTGCATCTAGAGGAAGAAAGCCCCAAAGCTTTATTTTTAACTCCATGTACATACCTAGTCCATTCCATTAAAGCACACGAATGTCAGCACCCTCTGCCTGCCCAGTGCTGGTCTGGGGGGAGGAGTTGGAGCCCACCAAAAGCCACATTCCAAGGGATCTGTGGGACAGCCCTGCTGCAGGCAGGGATGGGGCAGGCAGGGACCATCACTGATGTGCTGTGCTTGCTGTGGACACTGTGTAAGTGAGCCTGAGGGGGAGAGAGCTTCTATTTTTGTCTGATTAGTTTTGTATTTTCTCCTTCTCTTACAGGAACTTGCCCCCCTCCAGAAGCAGAGGACCATGTGGGAGGAGCTGGGGCTTCCTGCAGTGGTGACCCAAAATCTCATTTACTTACCCAATATCCATGTGAGAGCTGTGACTGAGAAAAGGTGCACCTGCAATTCTCATTTTTCCCCCTCCTCTTTTCCCTTTCCCAACCCAAATGCTCATTTTCACTCCTGAACCATGTCCAGATGCTGATTGAGGCTGTTGAGGTGTGGATGAAGTCCTTTTCCCACCTCACTGCCCCTGAGGCAGGTCTCCCTCCTTCACCAGGAATCTGGGTGACTAAACCTTTAATCCCGTTGGAAAAATGTTGTGTTTAACATTGCTGAGGCTTTTTGCAGGATGGGGCCTATTTTGATGATTTTCTTCAGTTTGAAAAGGTTTGTGGTGAAAAAAGCTGTTTAAAAATGTGGAACCTGTCCATGTTTTGACTGTTAAATTTTTCATTTTGCTTTGAAATGATCTTTACTTTCTTCTTTGGGTTAAAACCAGTAAAAATGTTTAAGGGAAAAAAAAAAAATGAAGAAAAGGTTTCAAAATGACCAAAATTAGTGATTTGTTTAACTCTTTTTTTCCCCCAGTGGTCAGCTCAGAAATATTTTTTTTTAACAATCCCTTCTTTCTTCATCCTGAACAGGGACAAAAGAAAAACCACTGTGAGGTCAAAGCCTGTGACAAGGTGGCAGAGCCCCAATTTCCCAGGCTGTGCCCAGAGCCACCCTCCTGTGAAGGTGTTGGGGTCTGCTCCTCCAGAGGACCCCAGACCCCTGTGCAGGAGGGCAGGGGATGGGGAAGGATGCTCCAGGAGGTGGCTGATTCCTTCCTCTTGCCTCTCTCAGGGCCAGGATACCCTGGCACAAGGTTTTCTGCTCCCCCTCTGCTCTGCCTCATCCCTTTGGCCTGCAAAGGCCCCAATCCTGCTCTTCCCAACGCCGCTGGCAACCTCCCCACTGGCTTTGGCAGGAACAGGCCTTTTGCTGTTGATTTTTTTCCCCTGTCAATCAGTTAGTTTGACATCTAAATGTCAAATGACACCACATGGCATTTTTTTTTTTCTTATTTCTTTTCTCTTTTTTTTTTTTTTTTTTTTTTTTTTTTTTTTTTTTTTTTTTTTTTTTTTGTGCTTGTAATTTAATTGCAAGTGCAAAATGGTGGGATCAGTGCGAAGGGTTTTGAGAGAATGTATCATTAGCAAATTCAATTAGCTGGCACTTGTGCCTGCTGGCATGGAGGGCTCTGAGAGTGCCAGGGAGGCTGGTGCTGCACAGAGGGGGCCAGGGCAGCTCTCCCAGCCTTCCTGGCTCACCTTTTCTCCCTATCCCCCAGGGGCAGGAGAGCCTCCTCTCCTAAACAGCTCAGGAGAAGAGGCTGTACAGTCAAATTCTCCCTCTGCAATGATAATAACACAAGAGCCTGTCCTGCTTCCAGGAATTGTCTTACTGCACCAGCATTTCTTCAATTGTAGCATCTTTCCTGGAAATAGTGTTACATGACATGCCCTCGCTGCCTGTCTCAGTGTGAATGAGAATACAGCAAAGCTCATGTTTTCCATTGTTGAGATACGAGCATAAATCTTTCACTAATGCACTGCTGTCTTTTATTATAACAGTCACTGCAGCAGAGAAAGGTATGTCAAATCTCTCCTTGTTGGTACAGTCAGTTGTTGGCATTGCCCTGACACGTTGTTTCTTTCCTTAAAATGGCTTTGTAAAGGGACTGAAATGAGTTGCTCATCCTCTGGCAGCACCTTTGCATGTTTTGACAAATCTGAGCCTTCAATGTTGTAGGTATGAGGGTTCAAAACAGTGGGGAAACAGAGCTGGAATTATAGGATTTGACAAAAGTCAGGGCCAAGTCAGAAGTGATTGCTCTGGATCTCCTTATCAGGGCTGATACCTGCCTGAGGTGAGGGATGAGGGCAGGATGAGGAAGGGACAAGCCTTTGGTTGTGGGATGGCTGGGACCATCCATCCCATGCCTTCAGGATGCTTGTCCATCCTCTGTGTCGCTATAGGACACGTGAAAGAGCAACACGAGCCACTGCTATTTGCAAGGTAAAGCAGAAGGTTTATTTTCTGACTCCAACTTTTATACTTTCCCAAAGGTGACATTGGATTGGAGAATGAATGGGCCACCTCTCCAAAGACATTGGACAAACCACTAGTACATCAAGTTTCTCCACCCCCATGAAGGAATGCAAAACAATATGTTGTTTACAGAAATTGTGTGGGAAAGTTTTCTAACAGAATGTAAACTCAGAAGGCTTTAGAAAACTTAAGAATCAGGGTGACACTTCTGCATCACCTGCTGATGTGGAGAACCACGTCCTGCCTGGCAGCCAGCAGCAGGAACCCTCACTGCAGCCTGAGGATGCTGGTTTGCAGGAGCTGAGGGAAGAACAGCTAGCTCAAAATCAGCAGGTTTTTTCCCTTTTCTCTGCAAAGGGAGATCTGGGCTGACCTGTGAGGGTCTGAGGTCCCCCCCAAAAGGCTGCAAAGCATTTGGCATCGATGTGAGGAAGCAGAAAGTGTTTGGCAAAGCTCCTTGGCATTTTTTAGGTTTTTTTTCCTCGACGCAGCACAAGATATTTTACAGCTTTTGTGAGTCTGTAGAGAGGCTGGTTTCTGGCATGGGGCATGCTGGAGGCTGCAGGCTGTGCTGGAGCCTCAAGAGTGCAGCTGGTCTTTAAATCCAGCTTTATAGGAAGGAGATTTTCTGGTCCCACTGGAAGGAGGTACGGTCTTGTGACAGTGGAAATAGAGCAGGTTTAGTCTGGTCAAATGGGGAGTATTTCCAAGGAAACATAAGTTTTTTTACAGTGTCCCAAAGCTGAAGCAAGTCCAAAGTTTTCAGTCCAATTGTCTTGCTTTCCCAGGCTAATTTTATAAGGAGGCCCTAAAATGTGAATGAGGAGTGATCTTGTTCGGCCTGAAAAATAAAATTAGCGCCAGTATGAAGAGGGCTGAATCCCAGACAACCTCAAATGTCTTTTTTACTTTTTTTTTTTTTTTGATGGAAGGATGCAAAGGCTCAACTTAAAATGTAACTGTAGTGCTTTTGGAATAACTGCTTCAGATTTGCCTATGGTTGCAAACTGGTTTTTAGTGCAGTGAAGGAGAATAGTGATGCTCTTTCTCTTGTAGGACTTTCTATTCTATCCCAGGACAATTTTCCTCAAATCTGCTATTTGTCTCAGGTAGGAAACTTCATCCCTCCCAAGTCAGCCTGCCTTTCCTTTTCTTTCCATTTTGTGCTTGGCACTGTTAGAGTTCTCAGGAAAATTTCAACAAAAATCTGTATCCCCCTAGCCAGGAACAAGCCTGGATTGTACCACCTCCCTCCTCATGACTGCTGGTCATGTTTCTTCTCTTCCTTGCCAGCAACTTTGGAGTTCATCTTGAGTCTCTGCTCTTCTTGTTTGTGCCTTAAATGCATTTTGATCCCCTCTCTCTCTTTCCCACTGCAGCCCCACACGCCAGCTCACCCTCTGGCTGAGCCATTCCAGATATGTCACCCCTGGGATTCCAGAGGGGCTGTTAAAGAGCAGCGATGACAAACCCTGGCTAACCTGGGTTGTGATGCCTCGTGGCAGTGGTTGCCAGCAGCAGCTGCTGTAGGTAAACCAAAACCTTGATATTTATACCATTTAAGTTGCCTCACTCCCCCAAGTGCAGCTCCACAGAGTTGCTCTCCTAGGTGTGACTGTTTAGGGTGCAGTCCTCCCTGTAAGTTAGACATTCTCCCATAAAACAAATTTCAGCAACTTCATTCAACTTCTATATATAAAGTTTCTCTCAAACCTTTTTCAAACTAAGTCCTATCTCCTCCCTAGGAAGCATCTGCTCCCCATTGCCAAATTCTTCCACGTTCCTGTCCCTTTGGTCGTGTTTTCTTTAAATCCTTTAAAAAATGTGCATTTTGGCTGTGCGGTCATGCCAAGGAGTGTGAGAGTTTGCACATTTCAAGCAGGGATTGGCCCATCTCGAATTGGTGCATCCAGAGAACCTGTCACAAGTTCCTTGAAGCACTTCTGCCTTCTGTTGCGCTGGCACGGAGCTGACGGGCGCTCATTTTGCATGTCTCGGCTCCGCGCTTGGCTGGGGAGGATATTTGCAAGGCTGGATATTTCTGGTTCTACTCCACGGAAACCTTAAATGGAGTATTTGCTGTGCCCTGCCTCATGAAAAGGAGCCTCATAAAAAAAAAAAACCAACTTTGAAGGCTCCTGTTCAAAACCCTGATGTCAGACCCGCCTGGGTGGTGGTTTGTCTCTCTCCTGGTTGCTGAAGGAGTTTCTGAATTTTTTGGCTGTCGCCACACTCCTTTAGCTCCCCTGCAGCTCTGCTGGCTTTGCCTTACCAATGGCTTTCATAAGGCTTTTAATGCCATTTCCACTTGTACTGCTCCAGCCACTTTCTCCACATGGGTTCAAAGATCTGGAAGTGGCTCACAAGGTGGTTTGGGCTATTTTCCACTGTGGAGGGCTGTACTGGTGCTGTTCCCTATGCTTTGAACCACCCCACAGGGCTGACAGCTGAAAGTGTTTATGGTCTGAAACCCCAGAGCAGGTCCTTTTCCATGAAACTATGTCTTTGGAACCTTAAGAGCTGCATTTCTGCTCGTCCCCTTGGGACTTTTTCATCAGGCAGTGGCAGAAGGAGCCTGTGCTGAGCGATTAGCAAAACCAGCAGCTGTAGATCCCCATCATGCAGCAGGAGCCACATCCCTTGAGGTTACCAAATAGCAGTGATAGCATAGGGATGCAGGTCCATCTCCCTGTCTCTTCTGTCAGTGGTGACTTAATAACCTGGCACCTGGAATCCTCTCATTTACATGAGTAAGAGGGAAGAATGATTGATTTAAAGCCTCCTTTCTCCAAGTAGATGCCAATTTTGTCTTGCCAGATAATATTACTGGTGCCTTCTGACCTTAAGAGAGAGTAATCTAAGTTAAATATCAGGCATTTGGATCTTGGCAAAGTTCAGATTGCCAAAATGAAGAAATACAAATAGCTGGGAAGGCGACGCTGCGCCTTCCCTGGATGGCTGAACAAGTGCCATTAGCGCTTGAGTGTATTCCCAACTAGATATAAAAGGAATCGGGAGTGTTAAGGAAAAACAGAGTAAAGTGAATGCCTCTTACAGCTGTCGCAATGGGAAAGTTGCAACATTTGCTTGTAGGAAAAGATGCAGAAGCACACAGAGTACCTGTTAGCGCGAGCGGAGCCAGACTTGGGCAGGCTTTCAAGTGTTACAGACACAATCCTGAAGGCTATATGCAGAGCAGCATGACTTTTCCATGATGCTGGTTAAGAATACGTGCCATTGCAAAAGGATTTTTTTTTTTTTTTTTTTTAAGGCTGCCTAAGTTTTCTTGGGCCTTTATAGAGCAGATGTAGCTTAGGAGTGTTGAGTGCGAGGGGGACTGAACCGAGGGAACGGCATCCTTGGCTGTGCTATAAACACGGCTTGTCCCTTGGCTCCCCTCGCTGCAGATCAGGTTTCTAGCTGAGAAATAAAGTTCTCTGAGGGAAAAAAATCCATCCTTGGTCCCTTTGTTCTGCTTTCCCATGGCAGACTGTGCAGTCTTGTAGTGTTCCCTCTTTTGTCTGTGAAGTTATGAGCTCTCTGGCTCAGACGTAGCTACTCCTATAAACAGGGGTTGTGACAGAGCCATTATGGGCAAAAGCAGAGTGAGTTATTCCACCAGGAATTCTGGAGTTTGGGGAAAAATATTTGTTCAGATAGATTTTAGAAAATTAAAGACCTTATGCAGGAGGATTGTCAAAGAGAACGTTTTCTGGGATAAAAAGGAAGGTTTTTCTTCTAGTTATTATTTAATATTTTCATGAAATTAAACAGAGTCTCCATTAAACCTGAGTTTCCAGGACTTTCCAGGCTGCCAGGCAAGGGCCTGGGTCATTCCTCTTTCTGTGGGGTGGCAAAGCCCTGTGGGACTCCCCAGGGAAATGAGCATTTCCCAACACTCATGGTGCTGCAAGGTCTGCTTGAGCAAATGATCTCTCTGTCATGAACAACCCTTTCACTGGAAAATTTATCCTCAGCCTCAGCTGGGATGATTATACAGCTTCTAAGGGTATTAACAAATAGTGTTGGCTCTGGTTTTGTCTTAAGAAGGTTTCTATCACAATTAATCTTTGCCTACTCTTCATCCTTTCTTGTTTCTTGGAACATAGAGACCTTGCTATAAATATCTGTGAGTTTAAATATGGATTTCTATGTGCACATATAGACCCAAGTGCACAAATGGACATTTTATCATATCATACCATGCTGCATCATATCATTTAATACAATATTGTGTGTCTGCAGTGAGAAGACACATTTTTCTGTCCTGGTTAGTCAAAGTGAAGCATCAAAGGTTAATTTCTTTCTGTCTGAAATTTGCACGCAGCAAGTTAGACATGACTTTACTGTGCCACGATAAACTTTGCATAGTATACCTTGTATAAAGGTAAAATACATTTTCCATGACTTAAACCTTTGTGGATCGGTGCTAGGCTAAGGGCAATTAGATTTAACATCCCTGGAAACTCCAAAGGCATTTTAAAGGACTCGCTCTTTTGTTCCAACTCTAGCACTCAAAAAGACTGAGACATTTTTGGAATAGGTTTTGATGGACTTATATGAAAATTTATATGACTAAGAATTGGATTTGTTCCTCTGGAATATTATGGATTATTTTTATGTGGGAATTACATAAGTGTGCAGAGCTGCATGCAGTTGGCTTAATGTAGCTAAAAATATATATTCTGATTTCCATTTGGAAAGGTAGCTGGATTTTTCCAGCTTCCCCACTCAGTGATGACTTTATGGTGTGTACGGGTTATAGATTACAGGAAAAATTGAAATGCATAGTAAAATCAAGGGGTTTAAAATGGATTAACATTTGATTATATCTTTGAGAAGATGAATACTGATGTGTGTCCTTCTCCACTCTTGATTTTGAACTGTGGTGAAATCCCTTACAAATAAAACTTATATCAGAGAGACCACCTGGATGTAAACAAGGACAGGAGTGGGCAGCACATGAGAAAGCAGAAATCTTTGAGGCCTGGGGCAAAGGCTCATCCTGCTTTCATCCCATGGCTCATTTGCCTCTGGTGTGGCAGAAATCACAAGGATTACCCTGACAAGAGAAAACTTCACAGAGCAATTGGACATCACAAGTGAGGAGCAACTGCTCTCAGTTACATTACTCAAAGATACTCCATTTCTCCCTGCCTCTCTCTTTCTCTCTCTCCATATAGGAGAATTTATTTGACACAGTAGTATCCAAAAAACGCTTCTTGAAGAAAGAATTTTTTCCATCTGTATTTTTGATGAAAAGCCTCATGAAGTGGAGGCTGAACTCTCCTGTTCCAACAGAGAACACATTAGAAAACCTGATCCTTTTATTTTAAACGATTGGCTGCCCCACTAACACCAAAATTTGGTACATTTGGTACAATTCCACTTCCTAAAATCTTTTGGGGTATTGTAACCTGGTGTTGCTTCACCTTCCACATGAAGAAACACCAGGTTACAATATCCCAAAAGATTTTAGGAAGTGGAATTGTGGTCCTGTGGGCAGCACTGCTGTTCTATTAGAAGGGTTTGTGTGATGTCTGTATCAAGTGATACAGTACAGTGACTCTCTAAAGGGAAAAATGATGTAAATATACTGCAAGAGAAATGAACAAAGGGTGTTCTTCTAAATTATCTGCACATCTGTGACTCACCTAGAACAAATACAGTATAAAATTGCAGAGCTGACAGGATGCTTCCATCAGGTTTTTAAATGTTGTGTGAGATGGAACATGTTTTATGGCATAAAACCCAAACTCTGCTTTTATTTTGCTTCTTCTGTATGTTTTCTAAAATGGACATGTCACTTTGGCTGTATAATCATATCATATTTAGATTTGATTTAAATCCTGTCTTTTCTCAGCTGTGCTCGCTAATGGAATCATTCATGCTTTTTATACAGTTGATCTAATAATATTTTCCTCAGTGCTCTCTGGCATTATTTTTTACTTTGTTGGAAGCATGGCAAAGCTGGCAATATAAATTGAGTCTGCATTTTAATGACATTGGTGGTGATTTTTTCATGCATTTGGATAAGGTGGGGTTTTTTTTCCTCTCTTTGTACCATGGTCATTTCAATATACTGTGGTGTGGCCATGTGAATGACTGATTGATCTGCAGGATTCTTTAATAAGGAAGAGGAATTTTCCAGTATTACTTTGCTGCTTAAACTGCTCTGTTCATGCAGGCCATCAATAGAATGTCCATGAGATATCTTCTCTCTTTATTTTCTAAGCAATGTACTCCAATGACCTACGAACTTCTCTGTTTTATGTCTCTGGTCCCTCTTCAATACAAATAAAATGGTGTCTCCTACTGGAAAACACTAGGAGATGACTTTCAGCATTTTCTCATAGGAAGGTTTCTCAAATTTCAAATGAGGATTGGTGAACAAACACTTCTCATTTAGTGACAATATATTTTTTTCTGGATACACTTAGAAAGAGAACAAATTATGGACTGCAGCAATGACTGTCTCCACTACATTTTATACTTGCACAACCCCCATGATGACTTTAGTGATGGTGGGGGAAGAGGCACAAGTGTGGCCCTTCAGAGTAAGTTTTCTTCTTATTTTGCAGAGGGTCCAAGATGTCATGTGCTACCTCAGGAGAGTGAAGCCCTTTACAGAGGCAGCAGATGCAGTTCAGCATTGCTCATTCTGTTGTGCTTCAACTCTGACCACGGAAGCGCCAGCTCCTGGGACAGAAAGTGCTCTGTTTACACTCAGACCTTGGCATTTTTCCTAAGGGTACCAATTATAATGGTGTTTTTTGTGATATGGGCACACATCCATTATGAATTGGCTTGCACCCACCAACTCATTTTCTACAGGCCATGGAACATCCATCAGATGGCAACTATTCCCATTCGTGTGCAATGTTAAGGAAATCTAGATCATTACCAGCAGAATAATGAATTCCCTAGAATTGTTCCATTGTGCAATTATATGAAGTATGCTAAGAAAAAGGGCAGTTTCTCAATAAAGTACTCCTTTTTATTTTCCTAAACCACAGGAATGATAGATTATTAATCATGATTAATGCTCAGTTACAGTGAATTATAGTGGAGCAGTGCCTGGAAATCCCAGTCTGCTTGGTAAACTCATTTTCTTGCATAATAGGAAGCTTACCTTGCATTTAAGAGAACGCAAACAGATGAATGCAATGGAACTAACCATTTCATACAATTAAAAGAAAAATGTACTAGGTACATACATTCTTAGTCTGACAGTCTTGAACTTTTTTGATACTGTACAAGCATAGTAGAAGAATACAATTGCAAACATCTTAATTGTTCCTGTATTTTGCTTTCTTCCTGAGAACCAGAGTCTTCTAGAGCTCAGCTGTGTCACTCACCCTGAATCCCTAAGCAGCACTGGATTTAAGGCAGAGCTGTGCATTTTCTGGACATTTGGAAGATGTTGGTTGTTCTAGCTGATGATTGCTCAAGAGAATACAAATGCTCAAAGTGCTTTAGGAAGCAGAGGAAAGTCGAATGAGGTAAAGTAATATATTCCATCCCTATATTTGGGGTTGTATATGGGATAATTTTTGCCAGCCCCACATCTAAGGGACTCATTGTACATGGAGAGTAAGGCACCAGGATGACATTATGGAAGGGCTCATGGTCAGTCAGAGAACTTAATATTCTTTGAGATAACTGAATATTAAACTTTTAGAAGCCATCAGAGGCTTTTCCAATATTTAGCAAACATCAATTCCCCTAAAGTTTACATCCTAATCTGTATTGTATTCTGAGAACAGAGTGAAAAGAGGTGAAAAGACATTTTTGTCTCAAGGATGAGACTGCTGGGTCATTTCCAAGAGGAGATCCTTAGAGAGGATCCCATGGTCCTTTCCTGTGGAAGGTAGCAAAGCAGCTCTCCGTTATTCTGCCTGTCTCTCTCTTCCCCCAAGCAATCTGTCAGTGCATTTCTGGTGCCGGGGAGAGGCGTCGTGTCGGAGCGCTGTTCCCGTTTGCAAAACGGGAACTTCTATTTGTTGTTCTCAGGAGCTGGTTTCACGCACTGACATCTCCCCAGGAGCACAGCTGAGTCCAACATGTTCCCAGCAGCCATCCACCCAAACGCCTCCCACTCGAGCACCCAGACCTTCCTTCCCAGTAAATAAAAAATACAGAGACAGCCTCGAATTGTTCCAAATGCTTTGGTTTCACTGGGATGTCTACCCATGTTCAGATCTGATAAATGGGTATTTTTCTGCACTAGGAAGTCAGTTTAGTGTGGGAATAGGATGGCTTTTCAAAGAGTTTCTGGAATAGTTAATGGAAAAGTCTGACTTTCTCTGTTGTCAATGTGTTTAAATGTTCCTACGTGTCGTGAAAGTACAATGTTGCAATTAACAACTTTGTGACAGAAAACAAAGTTATCATAGGCTGCTGATTCTACTGTGTTGTATGAAATAACATGTTTTTCAAGGTTTCACTGCTCAAGAAATGTCTCAAAAATCTACTTCCTAAAGCAGGAAACTGAGCAGTGGGCCCTTGTACACTTCAGGCAAGGAGCTATTGCTGCATTATTTAAAACACCACCCACAGCAGCTCTCAATACATCCCAGTGCGATTCCATTCATATTGCTGGGACATCCTGTCCAATCATGGCTATAGTAATTCTGTCTTTGACCTTACCTGTGCCCTGTATTAGACATGACCTCAGTATGCCAACCTATGGATTACAACACATTCACAAAAAAAAATATTCTGAATAATGATTCCTAGGAAAAGAGTTGGAAAAAATTCCACATTTGTGCCAAAATCCCCCAGTCCAGTTCCACAGCTGAATGAGTTCACTTGCCATGAGTTATACTGGTGTGGTCATTGTGTTTTTCCTTGCAGACTCAGAATTGGTACAAGACATCCTGGCTTGAAAGGCAAAGTCTCCATCTCTGATTCCCTCACTGACAATGTTTTGGGGTATGCACCCTCTGGTTTCCCCTCTTGGGCTCTGTCCAGCCATTACACATGAAATCTCCCATTCTGGAGGTTGGCATCAAAAGCAAGGACTGCCAATGTACATTTTTATTGGTGCTTCTCTAGGAAATGGTATGTGGAACAAGCGTCCCTCTTTTCTGACTCCTAAATGCCTCGGGTCAGAGTTTTTATTCATAAACACTCACATGTCACTTTGTAAAAAGGATTTAAAGGATACCAAGGTGGTATAGAGTATAGAATGATCCAAGCCTCTGTGGCCTGGTATGTAGCAGTGAGAGTTTAGCTTAGCTTTGGAAGATTTAAGATCAAAATTCTGTGGGAGAATGCAAATCGAAGCATTAAAACTCAGCACTGCCCATCCTGGAGTGGGTGACCCAAACCAGTACCTCCTGGAAGACAGTGGGTTGTGCTGTGGGGTTTGGGAATGATGTGGTAATGAAGGACTAATGATTTAGCTCCTTTAGGTGACTACAGCTCACGATGTGACAGTGTAAGATAAGCAAATCTCTTCCATTCCCCACCAACGTCCTGAAAGGAGCAGAGAAATGAGGTGTTCTGGGCTGCTCGCTGCATTGCTGAGGTTTGTTGTCTTCTGGTCACTAGGCTTTGTAAGATGCTTGGAAAAAGGTTGTTAGTGGTTCTACTTTTGCTTTCTGATTTTTTGAAAGCATGAGTGTTCCAGAAGGGGGATAAGGAAACTACATACACATGGCTGTTTTCTCCCATTAAATGTTTGTGCACCAGGATTACGCTGATTAATAAACAAGTGGCTTCAGTGATTTTAGAAATACTTAATATTCCAGTATCTTGCCAAGGATCCTTGTTTGGGATTCCATAGGCTCTTCTGCACTGAGATCACTGGGGGTTTTGGGAGAAATTTTAGTGCTTATATAAAGAAAACACTGACTTTGTGTTAGTCTATAAATACCTAATATGAGAAAGCAATTCTGTACTTTCCTCTGTGCTTAATACCTGTGTTCTGCACCCTCAGGCAGATGAATTTACATGCTTTTCTTGTCATATGTGTAATGTGCAACATGTATTTCCTTTTTATTAATCAGACCTGCCATCAGAAAGGAGATAAAAGGAGTTTAAGCCCAACCAGGATGGATACTGTCATATTGTTATCTTTTGTGCACAGGTGGAAATGCCTGTTTGCACGAGAATCAGAGGCAATATTCTGTTTCTTGCAGAAGTCTTACAAATGAAAATCAAGCAAAGGAATTACTGGATATCTATGGGGTAATTTTCCTCTGGAAGTGTGTAGTCAATTCCCATTTAGGCTAATTACATTAAGAAGCCCTTTCCTATAACTAATGAACAATAGGCATAACCTCTTATTACATAACCATGGGCCAGCACATTAATACACTGTCAAATTGAAATACCCTGTGAAAATGCTTCCTCCACAAAAATCACTGGAGATTTTCAGTGACATTTGCTGTAATTACCAGTAGCATGGTTTCTAATTAATTAATTTTTTTTCTACCTATACTGGGCATATAAGAGTGTTTTAAGAGATTGAATAAATAAATTTTTAATTATAAAATGATTATATATCATACATTATTTATAATAACCAACAATGTGTAATACATGTTTAGGTATGAATCCATTAGGAAGATGAACTAATATATATATCAGTGCTAAAATAATGTCCTAATTTGTTCTGTGTTTATGAATGGCAAAATCAGTGTTTAAAGCAATTAAAGGTTTATAAAAGCTTGGATTGACAGTGGGTAAAGCAGCAAGCACACTTGGCACTTAGGAATTCTGTTGTCATCTATGGCAGAGAAGACCCCTTTTTGTCCTTTATTGGTTTCAGCAGTTTGTGATATCATGCCACCAGAACAGTACAGATAGAGAGACCTCCAAGGAGGGAGCAACAAGATGCACATAGTCCTCATTGACAAAACCTCTGGCTATGATTAATATTTCAAAGAAAAAAAATCTCCTTTGTAATGTGTCAGGTAGTTTTGAGGAATTTTGTCAGTCATTTCCCTATTAGCGGTAGCAGACTTCTGAAATCTCCATGGCGAGTTCCAGGCACTCCCCGGTCTCGTGGCAGGACTCCAAGAGGCTGCAATCAATGTCACAGTCACAGTTGCAGTCGTTGTTGCCGTGGTCTTCGTCAGAGGTCTGGTAATATCTATTGGATGGACAACAGGTATCTGTCAGCCAATGTTCACAGGTATCAGGCAGCATTATAAGAAAGTCCCAAAACTGGCAGAACAAGCAGGCCAGGATAAGTGTTGCGCATTCATCTAAGAGAAAGGAAAAGCAGGGAGACGTAAGAACAAGGCCAGTGTGGTTACACAGAAGTGAGAGGGTGGGCTAAAAATACATTGATGATAACTACTTCCATAGAGACAAGTGAAAAGTTTATTTTCTATTTTAATTGCTCTGGAAAAACAACAGCTGTATGAAAAGAATTTGAATGGAAATATTATGTGGTAGTGAAATGCAGAAGAAGAAGCCCTTTAAACCAAATTTTATCTTCTCATGCCTGGACAGCAAGGAGGCAGAAGAGACACAAGAAGCTGGGAGGGGACACAGCCAGGACAGCTAATCCCAGCTAGATAGAAGGATAGTCCAGACCATATGGCATCAACATAAATTAGGCAGAAAACAAGCAGGGGTTTCTGCTCAGATAACTGATTTGGCATCATTTGGTGAGTGCTGAGCAATTGCAATGTGTATCCCTTGTTTTGTATATTCTTATTCTTATCCTTATCCTTATTCTTATTCTTATTCTTTATTATTATTATTATTATTATTATTATTATTATTATTATTATCATTATTATTTTGTTCCTCCCATGTAAAACAACTACAATTTTCCTATTACACTGCATTTATCTCATCCCATGAGATTTCTTCCCTTTTCCCTTCTGGTACCCCCATTCTGCAGTGGGGCAGTGGGTGACGGGTTCTGTGGGGTTGAGTAAACCACAACATCAGCACAGGTGACACTGGAGTTTATTTTCATTTTCACAAGAGTTTGCACTAAAAATGTTTAAAAACTACCAAGGACATGGAGGGAGAGCAGGTCTGGAGAAGAGCTTTCAGGAAGGGCAATGTGCCTCAGCTCAGGGTCCTGCCAACTCCCCACCAAGCAGGGCTCTTACCTTTTAATTCACCAGTGTCAGTTCAAAGGAGACAAAAGTTTGGAAAATAGATTATGTAGGATGTGTATCTGGAGCCAGTGAATATTCCTGAAAACTTGCTCACCCTGACTAAAACTCTGTGCTATGTTTGTGCCCTCCCAAAATCAACTAATTAACTCCTCACCCCTCAGCCTCCAGCATCTGGGGAGACTGCTTGGGTGTAGCAGGTGTGAGATTCCAACTGTGTGAATCCAGTTGGAGCACAGACCCAGACCTTTCCTTTCCCTTTTTTTTCTTTTTTCCCTTCTTGTTTTTGGAAAGGAAAAATGCCTTCAACAATATGAGTGTCTTTTCATTGGTTCCTTCAGGAAAGCATATGGTTATAACCACATTTCTTGCCCTAGGATGACTAACTGTGAACTCATTCAACTGCATTGGTTCTGTTGTGGCATTTTCTAGCTCACGTAACATGAAGTTAACTGCCAGGAAGTTTCCAGAATTATGCTTTTTTTTTTTAGAAAGCTTTCTTGATGAAAAAAACAAAATTAAAAAAAATCATTCCAGCTTCTTTATTAAAAAGGCAGTTAAAGCAGGTAGAACGAATAAACAGCATATGACTGAACTTCTTTCTAAATGGCATATTATCACCAATGTTATCAATTTTAATATTTATTTAAATATGTCAAGATCTATTTAGGTTCAGACAAGCACAACTAACTTCTAAGTCAGTTCTGTTGAATAAGAATGACTAGATTTTGGTGATACTCAGTAAGTTCATGCTTATATTTTTTCCTAGCTAAATGAACTGAAATAATTATAAAATTGAAATAGTTAATAAGGTGACACCACTGTACTTAATTGTATGAAATTTACACTGTAGAAAATGTAATCATTTTATCCAGTAATTCTTGGTGTAATTAAGACTATTCTTTTTAGATCTCTGATGTTTATGAAATTTCTTTCCTATACATAGATGTGAGAGACAGAATTCAAAGTTATGTCTTAATTAAGGATTTGGCAATTTTTTTCCTCCCTCTCCAAAGATCCATTTTTTAATAACAGGTTTTTTTTCCCTGAATGTGTTAGCCATAATGGTGATTATGTAATCTGGAGAGAATAGATATGATTCTTAGGGCTTCATCCAGGAAAGAGAGCACACAAAAAGCACAAGATTTTAATAATAAAGTAATGTTTCAGCACAGACTCTGTGATGTGCAGTAAAGATGCTTTTAAATTCCCATCAGAGCACACACCATGAACTGTGATAATGGATGTAACACATTTCAAAAAATCTGCATGTGTGAGGCTTTTTGGTCCTGTTTTAAGTGGGGTAATGTATATAAATAATAGATATTAGCAATTAGACATTGATTCCAATGCATTCATTTATATATTTGAAAATAAATTAGCCACAAACTGCATAAAAGAAGATGCAATCTCTTGTTTTCCCCTCTGTTTTCCCTGCTGTTTGCCAAACGGCATTACTGCGTTCATCTCAGTGAGAACAATGACCTCAGCTCTCGTTCTCTACATTACTAGATTAATTAGCACAAAAGAAGAATTTATAATCATTTTTCTAGCATGCCACATCTCTAAGTTTTCCTGCTCTTGTTTGGTCGCATCTGCCCACACAGATGATGCTCTGAACAACCCTGGTCCAAAGCTTGCTGAGGCCTTTCTGGTCATCCTTGGTGAGACCTATGAGTGTTGTGTTTGCTCTTGTCTGAGCCCTGGGGACAAAATAATCACCAGTTTCCTCATTTACTGCTCTGCCTTCAGATGTTCTCCAAGCACCAGCAAACAGGATTTGGCCTCGTGCATGTGGAATAAGCAGTAAGTTGTCAGAGTGGAGTGAGCTGAGTATGCAATGACAACCACAAATCTGTCTTCCTTTGGTTTTCTTGGCTTCTATCCAGCCCTTAACATTATTAATTAAGCACAGATTGGTTTGGGTTTTTTTTTGTTGTTGTTGTTTATTTCCTTCACGTTTAGCTTTTTTTAAGGAGAATGAAATTTCTTATTTGCATCACATGGCACACACCTGTGTGCCAGTAGTGGTTGAGATAGACCTCAAATTCAAAAATACGGAGTGTGTGGACAAGAGGACAAGTCCCCTAAATAAAAGAAATACTTCAGATCATTATCTGAAATTAAGCATATTCCAATAGATGTATCACAGACATCCCTTTTGTAAGGATCTGTGACACAATAGAGATGTTAATGATTCTTGGAGAACAGGGCACTTTATTGTGTTGATCTGTATTTAGAAATGCTTAATTTAGGAATTGTTAAATGATATGCACGACAGATCCCAGCTCCATTGGATATAACACACTAATCCATTATTGCAAAAGGCACTCAAAAGAAACTTCTGAAATACTTCACAGAGCCTTTTTTTAACATGCACTGGAATAACCAGGAATAGATGTATCTGGTACTGACACTGGTGCCTCTGTGCAAACTCTCATTACTAAAGTACAAATGCTCTGTGGCACAATAAGCTCTAAGCTCCTCTTCTATGACTTTAGTATCACTGACAATTTAAGATCATCTTCTAGAAATTCTCATCTACCACACAAATGTCTGCAGGGCAACTTAACATTGCTTTTGGCGATGTTCTTGAACCTCCTGTTCAACATTTAATTTCGAGTTGGTTATACATAGTTCTTTTGCAGTGGGCATTATTTAGAAATCAGCTCAAATGTGATCTGTTTTATAAAACATACCGTCACTGTCTCTCTGATGTACTGATGCATCATCTTCAATGTAAGTGAATTCTCTGCATTTCTCCAGGGAAGCAATGGATGATCTGCTTGCATCTGACAATTTCTTCTCATTCTTGGTACCCTTTGATGAAGCGTCTGTGATGCTGAATTCTGCGACAGAACTCATAACAATACCTTTCATAGGCTTTTCATCTGTGTGTTTTTCATTTGTAAGCTGGTTATCTGGTGGGATTAGGAAAAGAAAGACTGTGATACCAAGGCAGAGATCTAAGAGAATAACATATGCAGAATTTTCAAACCTCCAGTTGTTTACTTCCAAGGCCTAACCCTTCTCACCTAATGATTTCAGTCTCTTTACAGAGGTTTATTCATAGTAAAGGTATTTGTGAACTTGCCTTCTAAGGTTTGCCCTTAAACCCAGAGGACTTAGAGGCTAGGTAATAATTCACTTCCAGTGTGTGGGATCAGGTTTGGAAATAAAACAGAACTATTGCCTCAGGTTGACATCTATTTAGTGTTTGATATCCTAACTTCAATTTGTGACATAAAAGAAGGCAAAACAATTATCTTGCTATTTTTCAGCTGCAAATTCATTTCCCTAAATTAACAGCCAACAATGTGCACGTAGGTGGTACCTGGATGCAGATGTGCCAGCTCACTGTGGCTCATAATGTTGTAGAAAGACAGCCAGATGGTCTCTGTTTAGCATCCAGATTCCTTATTTCATAACTTCATCCCCACTTGCGTTGTTGGCCTGGAAGTTAACCAGGAGATGGGATACTTCACATGCTGTCAGCGTGCCAGAGAGGCAGCTCAAAAACCAGAGGGAGAGCTTAATTTTAAGCCCCAACTAGGGGAAAGGTTAAGAAGAGTTCTGAGTTCAATTTATTCTTGAAGAACTTCTCAGACACAGATAAACATGGGTTGATATATAGTTTCACCCACTCTCTGAAGTGATCAAGTGGCCAAGAGACACAGTCATTCTCTTCGTGGCAGGGATGATAAAACCTCATCAGTTCTTATCTACAGCTGATTAACTCCTGTGCCTCACATCAAGCACAGCCTCACTTTTTATCTCACTTAAATCTTGTGATATGCTTGCTCTTGAGCTATATACAGAAAATCAATCTTTACAAACACCTCAGTTTTGCAAATGCTACTTTCTGAGAGGAGCAGTAAGTGCTCTGAAGTGGTTCATCTGCACTTGCCTGAAGGAGTCTGAGGAGAGGGCCTGAGTATCTCTTGGTTTTTAGGTACCTTTGGCTTCTGACACAGGTTAAAGAAAAGCCAAGGAAAGGCAGAGAATGAAACCTTGGTGAGACTGCAGCTGCTCCATCAGTATCCTTGCAGCAAGAGGAGAAAAAGTGGATGGGATGGATGGATGGATGGATGGATGGATGGATGGATGGATGGATGGATGAATGGATGGATGGATGGATTGCAAGGTAAGTGAAAAACCAGGGCCACCATAAGGCTTGAGGAGGGGGGAAGCAAGGATTTGAGAGATAAGTAGCACCTAGTTTGAGTCCAGTGAAGGCCACTGAGGTGGTAAGGGGTCTGGAAGACCTTCTGCATGAGCAGAGGCTGTGGGAGCTGGCTTTGGTTGGCCTGGAGGAGAAGGCAAAGAACAGTGCTGGATGCTTGGCTCCCCTCCAGAGCCAGGATAATGGAGAAGCCAGACCCCAACTCCTCCCAGCACTGCACAGATGGAAAACAAGGAGATGACATGGTCAGAAGCTGCAGAAAAGGCAGCTGGAACTGCCCAGGGAATGAATTCCTCATCATGGGAATCTGCAAAGCACCAGAACAGACCACAGCAAGGCTGTGGCTGTGTGAAGAGCTCAGCTGGGCATGGACCCCAGCAACCTGCTCTTACTGTGGGTTTCTGGCAGAGGCCAAATGAGGTGATTCTAGAGTCCCTTCCAAGCTAATTTTTCTATTATTTCTATAACTCCATTTACTTAGCAAATGAATAAGCAATTAATTTAAATTTCTAGCCGTGTTTCTAGCCATTTTAGACAGTTTTACCTGGAGAGATACACAGAAGCAGAAAAGGTGGGTAGAGGTTAGTAGAGTGAGATCTTGGGATAAGATAAGCACAAAAACTAGGCTATCATTTTAATTTTAAATCACTGCTTTAAAATAGTGTGTTGGCAGAGGTATTGTCTTGATTTTGAAGTCATAATGACAACAAAGTCTACTGTGATGGAAATGTGAATTTCCCTGTCCTGGAGAGTTGGCCTTGGGCAGGGAGCGAACGATGGGATGGAGGCAGTAAGAGAGCAGTGGCACAGAGAGGAGGTTCAGAAACTTAAACTGTCAGTTTTTTTGAGTATTGTGATGAAGGAAAGCCACAGGCATGATGGGAAGACTGGGAGAGGCAGTGGCTCCACTGGGTGTGACCCAGCAGTGCAAAGCACAGCAGTTCTCCCCTGAGCTTGTACCCTTGGTCATAAGAAATCAGCATCTGAGGCTGGGCATGTCTGGTTTTGTCCATCTGTGATGATTTGTTGATGGTTTTCCCCTCAAAGTAAGCAAATTCAGCTTTCTCCCCCCTCCCCCCCCCCCCCCGACTCTTTGGCCAGCCTCTTCAGTCCTGAATGTGACTGTTTTCCAGTGTTTGTAAATCAGTGACATTCCACAGGTTTGCCTGCACTTTCATTCAATAACAAACCATCTTCAGGAAAAGTTCTGCTGATTAAAGCAGCAGAGCTAAGGAGGAAGTGATGTCCTGCTTATGCATTGGATTTATTGGATAACAATTGTTTTTTGAGTCCAAAAGACACAAGCCCTACCTGTTAGCCAGGTGCCAATATCACAAATGGGTCTTGCTTGTTCACACTGAGAGCTACACCCAGGCTGAACCTTTAGATACACACGGATCAGATCAAAAGGCTTAGGCAAGAATAACTATTATTTTCCACCTTCATGATCTGCCCAGAAATCTAAACTAGTTATGTTTTAACTCATGATATATTTGTTGAGTTCCCCAATTCTGCAACAATACAATGGCCCACAGAATGCATTTAAACATTCAAGAAGTGAGACTGAAAAAGAAGTCTGACAGAAGTAATCAGTAAATGCCAGACTGACATTTACTGTATCCACCGACTTCTACTATTCATACTTGGAGTCAATTTTTATTCTTGAAGTGCTGTTGAAGAGAAATCAAAACCAGAAATAGAAAGGCATAGACATAACCTGAATTTTTCAATACAGCACCATCAAACAAAAGGGTAACAAAAGCTGTCACTCAGGGACTCTTCTGTTTGTTAAAGCATACTACATCTTGGAAAATACAGTACATTTTAGTGTCAGACTCTTAGTTTGAAAAGCTCCCTTTCAGTAATGTTATACTTGTCTTGTACAGCTAGATCAAGCCTTCATGCAATCACTGTAACAAGCAACTTGCTATGACAAGCGAGATCCTTGCTTCCAGAAAACACTGCAGGAGAGGCTAAAGCAGTGTACAATTATAGGTCTCCATTTCATTTTTATGCAATTACCTTCAGTTCAGCTGTGGGTCCATCTACATTATGTCTTTTATCAATTTAATGTTTGCACAAAGTGTCTGAAGAAATAAAGATTGTGCTAGACCAGCAGAAAAAAAAAGGTGGTTAGCACTTTTTTTTTCCTATTATAGTTTGCTGCTGGATGGAACAGTAGTAGTTTGAGAGTTTGGAACAAATAGATGTAACCAAATAGGCTTTAAAAATATATTGCATACCACTCATAGTATTTATGATTATTGTTAATCGAGAATATAAAAAACCCCAAATTACAGTTAGAGATGGGAAGAGGGTCAAACTTTGCAACTTTCTTTTAAGAGCCAGTGTTCAGCTTCAAATGTCCACGTCTGTGTTTTTAATGTATAGAAATCAGCCACTGAAGTGAACTTAAAGGGAAAAATAAGTGTATCATGATGGAGAAATGTCAGATTATTCAGTGTTAGACTGTTAGGCAGAGGCTGCTAAAGGTACACCCCCACAATGTGCCATTTTTAAGTAATATGAAGTAGCAACTTTCTTCCTCACATGGGGAAGCTGAGACTTGCCTTGGCTGTTGCAGTAGAAGACTGGGATTGTTCAACCATGTTTGTATCAAAGATAGTCTCAACACTCACATGGAATTTCTTTTTTCTTTTTCTTTTTCTTTTTGGAGTTGGGCGATTCAGATGGCTGACTACAAGTGTCTAAATTCATGAAAGCACAAAGTAAATCACTTACTTTTCACTGATGCCAGCTCCAGATCCCTCTGGTTAATAGGGAGGAGCAGTGATACCAAGACTGGCATTTGCAGTATGTCCCCTGACCTCTATTTCTCTTCATTGGCTTTAGGCACAAACCAGCATCTCGCAGTCCTGGAGAAGAGGAGTCTGCAGTTTCCCTGCATGCTTCTGAAATTAGATTTAGTATAGAGATATACAAGGGCTCTAAGTCTATTTTTGATAAGGGACAGAGGGTTTAAGATGTGCTCTGTTCTGCTGGACAGGGATTGCAGCAATGCAGGTAATCCAAAGCAGCTCTTGGAGCAGCTGTTTAGGAGGAGAGTCCACTGAAGGAGAAGGAGAATTGATCTCTGACCCTCCTAGGGCTCATCCACATCCTACAAGGAAAGGACAAGGGAGCCTGTGGCTCTGCTCAATGCTGGCATTTGTTCCAAATCCATCCTGGCAGTGGTTCTTTGTCTCACACCCCTGTAGCGAGGTGTCCCAAGGGTTAATGCTAAACTGTGTGGAAAACTGTGGCAGTTTAGGACCTGTAACTTTTTAATTTTCCCCTGGGGCATGGTGGTGTAGCATTCATCCCGTGCCCTGCTGTTGCTGCCTGTCTGTTTAATGTGTCACATGCTCATCACTGAAAGAGCTGTGTGCCACATCCGTTCAGTCCCCAGATGACACAGGCAGAGCTACATCAGACCTGATGGATGAAAACTTGCACGTATGAAGGCTTGATCTGACCTCACTTGGTTCTTATTGTACAACGAAACCCAAACCTCAGGGTTTGACAGCAGTTCTTCAAAAAGGCAAAAGCCAAAGGAAAACAAAACACTTTTTCTTGATCATTTAAGGGATATATTAATCTGCCAGGGAGGGAGTATCTCTGCATGCATGGGCCCAGCAGCTTACCTGGATGGTCCTCACTGCTCGGCGTCACCCCAGGGAGGGCCAGTAGAGGCAGGGAGCTGGTGCGACGGTCTTGGTGGAGAGAAGAAAACAAAATTGAAGAGGGATAAGCGTCAAATAAATGTGGTTTGGCACAGTTATTACCCTCAGCCACTTAGTAATAGGCATTGACTTCAGGAGTAGTTGGTCTGAGGTCAAACAGAAGCAAATATGCTTCCTTGCAGAGGGAGGTTACATGGCATGGTGTGCTGTTTGTGTTACTCTCTGTCTCTTTTCAGGAAAGGAAGCATAAAAAAAACCTGCTACAACAGAAAGTTTCACCCAAAAAGGGGTGAAGTGGATCACTAGCAAACACAGCAATTCAGGTAGGTACAGAAAATTTGAGAGCTGGGAGGTCTGACATGAAATGTGGGGCATCATCCATGCCCAAACACCTCAGAAACCTTAGATGATGATCCCAAATCATGAGCAAAGGAGGAGAGAGGAAATTTAAGCCCAAACTCCAGCCTTCATGGCCCGTCAGTCTTGGTGGACAAGATGCTCAAGATCCCTGTGGTGGCAAGCCCAGGTCCCCACATGGAGCAATGCTGAGCTCCTCCACCTTGGACACGCCTGCCAGGCTGTTCACTCCATGTCTAAGGCTCAGAGGCTGAACTCTCCTTTCCTTCTCTCTCCAAGTGTCAGGGGGGCAAAGTAGGAAGGGGTGTGGGACTATCCGAGCCATGAGTGCAGCAGATGGAGCAAACTCCATGGGAACTGCTGTTGCCCACATGGGAGAGGCTGGAGGGAGCTGCTCCAGACCAGTATATCATGGGGGCTTTCAGAGATTTGTGCCCATTACATTCTGCTGAGCTCAGGCAGAAGGATGCAGGGGATTTGGAGACAGTTTATTTTTGTCATGAGGAAACAGGAAATAGTACACAAGGCTATAAATATATCCCGGGCTTCAGATGACATCATGAACTCGTGCAAGTGCTTCACTACTGATTTACGATGATGGACTGGTAATTCACAGGAGCTTTGGGTTTACTTTATTATGCTGTTGCAGTAACAAAGCTAAGGGTGCAATCCCGGGAGGGGGTATTTTATCAATAGTGAATTTTTGACCTCATTGCATGCATTTTAACTTCATGAATTAGTGACCCAGCTAACTGTAAAGCCTTCTATAGGCTTATTGTAAATCTATCACAGGACTGGCAAAAACTTTTGGCCCAGGTCCTAAGCTCTGACAGGCATGTGTTGATGGACTGCATAGCAAGCACTTCCACTAATATTTCTCACTAATTATGCCATATATTAAGAAAAAAATGAATGAAGCCAATGTTTATATGCCGCTTTAACTGCTTTTCATATAAGAAAGCAACACAATCCCTAATAAATTTTCACCTTCAACATTTCTATTCATTATAATTTTTACCATGATGAATGAAGTTAGAACTGGAGAGGGAGGGGGTTCATCTTGAAATCTGTTCAGTGAATGACTGAATTTACTTCCCCAACTTGTGTTGAGGAAGGAGGGAACAGATGGACACAGGAAGAAGAGGGAGGCGAGTGCGGAACGAAGGAGATGGGTGAGGAACAGATGGAGTCAGGAGAAAGTGAAAAGGAGAGTCAGCAAGGATGGTAGAAAAGTTTTCCACTTGACCTTGAGTTGAAATGAAGATCTGCATGCAGGATGGGGCAGCTAGATTTTTGGGATGCATCCTTTTTTCTCTCCATGGCACTTATGCTATAAGGTCTTGTGGGCCATCCCAGCGGCCCAGTACACCCCAGGGGACCTGCAGAGCCAGGAGCTGAATTGTCCCTTGGGGTCACCTGCTGCAGAAGGGCACCTGCACTGTGTTCAGGTCATGTAATGGTAATGGCAGGGGAGAGCTGCGTGCCAACACAAGAACAAAAATGTGTTGGGACGTTGTAATTCTCCCAGGCATCCTAGCCAAGCCAGAAATTGGAGTGTATAATTTTGAAGAAGTGTACTACACCCAGTTTGTTAGGATCCAATGGCCAAAATACTCAGAGTAATTTATGATTTTACCTGCTTACAGCAAGACATTTGAGATGGCCTGATTTTCAGAATATGCTGAGCATCTGTGTTTTGATGTGTATTGAATTATATATCCCAAATCACTAGTAAGTCCCAGAAAATCTTGATTGTATTCTTAATTCTGTTAAATTGCCTGCATACACTCCACTGGTTCTGGCTTTGCTAGCTAAAGAATGGAAGAGGTGAAAGCTAAATATTGGCCATGTGTGTCATTCCCTTTGAAGAAAATGGGAGCCATGTGCACTCACCTAACAGCAATGTTTGGCCCCAACTATGATTTCACAGCTGGGCCCTAACTTCAGGAATGCCAAAGCACTAAATGACTCAATTGGAGTAATCTGATCAATGCTGTATTTTCACTGTGGATTTAAATTGCACACACAGCAAGAGCAGAGTTGGTTTTCTTCTCTCTCAAAATCACTTTTCTCTGCAGATTTGATAGCATAAATATGAAGTATTGCTCTCATCACACAAATAAGTGAAATGGCAGAAAACGTATGTCAAATAAAACGTACAACATTACGTCCTTTTTACTTTTTGGAGGCTGTTTAAGAAAATGGCTTCATTAATTTTGACTGAATAAAAGGTTCCTTTAAGGGATTTCAATGGGTGACATGAAAAATGTTAATACGAATGATCAAGACAATGGAGGTTAAAATTGTTTTGAAAATATGTTTCATTTATAGATCTCGGCTGTTGGAAGAGTTACAGAATAAATACACGGTAGTGCTGACATCCAGTGCTGTTTCATCTTAGCAAAGAGTTTTTAATAAAGAAAATTCTTTTCAAGGAATGCTTTCTGCAGCCAGTCTTCGAAAAGAGGTTTTCCCCCCTCCCAGTTTAATAAAATTAAAGTAATTTATGTCATATTGATATGTCGATATGTTTTTCAATAAACTTTTTCACAGAGATTTTTTTTTAATTCTCTTCACTTTAAAAATTATAATTATATGTCTTCCTCCCACTTTGAAAATGGCACAAGGTGCTCATTTGCAGAGCTCTACTGTTCAAATCTTCACTGAGAATAGAAATGTCATGACTCAGTTAACAATGCTTTATTATTCACATTGATCTTTTTTTATAGTGTTCTTTATCTCAAAAACATTGTAAATCAGATATCTTCCTCCCACTCTTTTGTTCATTTGCAAATTTTTATTATTCTAGTTTAAAAAAGCAATGGAGTGTCAAGAGTCAGTGTATATTGTTTATGTTCTTTTTTTGCTTTAAAATTACTTTTAACTATAAAAAGTAAGAGGTATAGCAGGAAAAAAAAAAGAGCTGGATTTAAAGATGCTTAAAAAAGAATTGAAGGGATCAGTGTGAATTTTATGCTGTTCTTTTACACCTTAAGAGTTTTAACAACTTTGCAAGAAGGGGGACTGAGCAATTTTTAAGAAGGTTTTTATGTGTTTAGTCCAATGTCCCTGTTGCATCAGACATCATCATCTGTGTTAAAGGCTGGACATAATTCATGCCCTAAATTACCACAACAGCAAAATTCAGAGTGTGTTTACTGGCTGGTTTGCAGGGCCTGCCCAGAGCCCTTCCTGTCCATCACTCCCTGTCACAGCCTGATGAGCACCAAGGAAAATCACTGAATTGTCACAGAACCTCCCAACTTTGGTATCAAGTGTTAACTGCAGCAGAAACACAACATCAGCTGGTCCACAGGCAAGGCAATCCCTGAAACTCATGGGGTTGGATGTGGGATACAGGTGTGCACCCTTCGGGAGAGCTTCTCCAGAGTTTTTCAGGATATGTTTGTGGATCAGCTCTCCCAAATTCCCCTTCAGCCACTGTTTTCTTTCCCTGTCATGCTTTTCTTTAGGTCCATATTTCTGTCCTGGCAGCTGTGACTTTTTGAGTGGCTTCCATGAGATAAATCTCTTACAGGAGTTGGGGATAGTCCAGGCAGCAGCAGGATCTCGTGGTGTTTCACATGCTTCTCGCTGTTAGGTAATTTTTTAATCATCTTTCCCCTGTTTGAATTTTATGATCAGAGCATCCTGGCACCCTGTTGTTATTCCAGCAGGTCTTGAAAGAGATCATCCTCTCTGGGAGTCTCTGAGATGGAGTGGCTATACCTGAACTTGTATTTAAGCCCCAGACTGGATTGTTTTGTCTTATTGAATTATAGAGTGGTTTGGGTTGGAAGAGATAGAAAGAGCATCTAGTTCCAACTACCTACCATGAGCAGGGGCACTTTCCACTAGACCAGGTTGCTCCAAGCCCTGTGGAAAGTGGCCTTGAACACTCCAGGGATGGCGAGGACCTTGTAGGTGGCCCTATTATATGAAACAGCCCTAAAAAGTGTTGTAAATGAAGCGAAAGTCTGCTTTCCAAATTATTTTTTTTTTCTTTCTTTTTGTTTAAACTGCACTCTGCTGACATTTACTAAAAGGGATAATTTAAAAACTCAGAAGAAGGAAGTCACAAACTGAACCTGAACTGAAAGCACAGAGCCCTGTCCTTCCCCCTCCAAGTGGAGAGCTTAGCAATGTTTGTTTTTATTAATGTCACCATATGTCTGTGCCAGTCCCTGTCCTCTTCCCCAGGCTGGGATTTGGGATACAGAGCCCCTGAGTCCACCCTCTGATGGGGCTGCCTGCACACCCCTCAATGGGTCCTGAGGCAGATCCATCCCAGTGCTCATGGACACCTTCTTGTTGTTTTGCAGGGCAAACTCAAACCTTTAAAATTCTCTTTATCCCTCACTGCAGAGAGTGAAACTGGAAAGTTTGATGTATTGTCTCATTTCAGTTGACCTTGCTGTTTTCAAAGCAGAGAAAAAACAAACCTTACAATTGTTATTGTTATTGTTGTTGTTGTTGTTGTTGTTGTTGCCTTGATGTCACTGCTGCATTAATTCACTTTCCTTCCTCTCATGGTTAATGACTCACCCCACAGTGAGGTTACGGTTGTCTGTCAATATGACCAAATTTCAGAAACAAAACAATAACCTGAGCTGAGTAGCCAGAAGTGGATGGGAATTTATTTAAAATAATCACTGGCACAGTAACTAAAGGTA